TGCATGCTCTCTATGTTCGAAATAAATAGAAAGTGGCTTAACAAACAAATAGATAGTTTTATATGCTCACGATTTAATAGGATCATCGTGTAAAGCTTTCTTTTAAAAAAGTTATTATTTGAATGAGTAAGTGCAATTAGAATAGATGCACGCTTCTGTTTCTGGTAAGAATAAAAACTGTTTTCAAGTACATCATGAGACCCACCTGACTGGGGCTGTGAGGTAATGGTGACGCCCACAATAAAGTTGTTATTATTACAGTTTAAAAAAATATAATGTTTTCTTTTTTTAAGAAAAAGGTTTCGCTTTCATTATAATATTATAAGTAATACTGATTGAAATGCCTCAGCGGGATAAACTATAAAAAAATAGATGAACACCAGCGAAAGCATACATTAAATTACCATCGACGATGCATATCCAGGCGAGTTTGGGAAAGTTTGCCTGATTGATGATTTTAAAATCAAATCACATAACACGCGTAGTGTCCTGACACCAACAGAAAAAAAATAAACGAAAAAAAGGAAAATTTGAATTAAGGAATTGGATTTATAAAAAAGGTTCACTCTAAACGAAAATAGAAATGACGTCATCTGGACATATCTGAGGATTCTCATTTCTAAAAATAGATATGACGTCCCACTCAAGTATCTAAAAATAGATATGACGAAATCAGTGACGCCACGTGGTCACTAGTTAACGTGACGTCATCAGGGTGGATCCACAGTCCACCCGATCCACCCGACGYAGAACCGCTATTTCCTATACTACTGTCGAAATCGACCTAAATTTCAAAGTGCAGTAGGGAAAGAGTTGACAAGGAACGAATGGAACAATATCAACCACACCGCGGGTGTCAATACAGCCCTTAACATACTCTTTGTCATCAACAATACAAGGCAAAACCATATCCCAGATATGCCAAGAAAAGGGAACTACATATGACAAAAACAATTAAAACACTCACAAAAAAAAAAAAAAAAAAAACACAACAAACGCATTTCAGACATGTAGTAAAGCGTCAAATGAAAAAAAAATCGGGCATTGCACATGATACTTGAGAGGAAGAGACACTCCAGATTGCCAATGCATTCTTTCCCAAAATAGACGCTGCTCATTACCATATTGTTTTCTTTTCAACTCAAGACAAAATATCATGAAATACTTAAGACAAAACTTACATTTTCTCGTTTATAACAATTTATATCTCAGCTCTACGGGTTATTATTGGACCTTACTATGATTACACAAAGCTCCTATTTAAAGCATATTTAGTATTTCCATAATGTCATTTTGTGTTAGGTTCTTAAAACAATTGTGGAGATTTCGGCAAAGACTCTAATGACAAGGGTAAAAACATAGCATCAAATTAAACAACTGTCACTTACTTCTTTATATATTGAGATTGCTCTCTCAGCTATGGTGTAAACGTGACCCTTTTCAAAAGGCACGTTTTTGTATATTCCGTACATTTTATTGTAACATGACAAACATTTCTTAAAGACATCAGGCTGTAGCTCGGCTGTGATGTAGAACGGTTCGCTTTTGTTTCTGGCCTTCTGGAAATCACTCAGCTTTTCTGGTATTGTAGACATGTTTTGATTTTTGTCACTACTAACAATGATCTGCTATAAACTGAAAACGTGCACATCATTCATTTACGTACACTTTTCAGTTATAAGATGCTACATTTGGGAAATTAAGTATGATCTGGTGCAGAAATTCTCATGTAAAGAAATGGTCAATGTGAAGCAAATAATGGTTTAAGATAAAGCCAAAATGCAGCACGGTGAATTGGACAATTAGTTCACATTTTTTGTTTTACAGATTATTCGTTTGATAAATCTATTAATTGATAGCTTGTTTTTTTTTTAATTTACGCTTTTGATTTATTCAGCGATGGCTCAGTCGCATAGTCCTTCAATTTTGTAGTTCAATCTCCTTCATTTATGATCTTCGATAAAACCTCCGTCGTTTTAGCTTACGTTTGATGTTTATAGTCTAAATGCACGATATCATGACAGATAAATTCATAAATTATTCATTTATGTACCTTATTGGTCCATTGTATGGTTTGAATGTCCATAATGTGACGTTGAAACTGTCTTTCAGCTTTAAAGGAGCTGCTTGTTGGGGTGTACGAGGCTCTGCAAATAAAAATTATCAATTGCACATATATGGTACAAATAGGTCATACAAATACAAATATGATGTAACACATACTGTCCACTTCTGCTTCCACGGTTACTGCTAAACTCTTGTTGCTTACACCACAAATTGTCAACGCTATTACCCAGAATTCATAATGTGTCCCTGGAAGCAATTCCTTTATCTTAGTTGTTGTTTGGCTAGAATGTTTGCTTTTAACTTGAAATGAAGAACTATACGCAGGCCAGTATGTTTTGAACTTTTCAAATTCACCTTCAAAAGACATGAGATTCATAAACACAACAACCTCCATAACATAATACAGCTTTTTTCAAGCGATCCTATTTGATGCTTAATAATCTCCCAGAGCATGCCATTCTTTAATTTATTGGGAGTTGATTAAGTTTTGCAAAAATGTTTTTATACCTTGTAACTTCTTACATCTTCTGCCAAGCCTTTTGGTTTCTCCCATGACAATGCGATAAACGTTTTACCTATTCCAAATGATCTCATGTTTTGCGGTTCACCTGGTTCTAAGAGAAACGAAACATGTGTTGCTCATAAAGAGGATTTCATATCTAATGTGCCATCTTTGACTGTTTTGCAAGTAGGTGTATGAATTAGTACGAGATGTGTGGAATTGCTCGAAGATGAGTCGCAAGGCCCCTTTTTATCTGCCTAAATTATCAGGGTTTCGTTAGCATTAAGTGGTATCTGACACAATATCACAGTTTATAATAATACTTACGGGATGTTGTAATATTTATAGTAGCAATTGGGCCTAATCCTATAGATGTTGCAGCCGCCACACGAACTTCATACTGTGCACACGGTCTTAGACTGTGTAAAACAAACTGGGTTCTCTGCGTTGTCTCGGTGAAAGAGTCAGCAACTGTCATTCTCTTGGGTCGTCCAAAGCGACCTACGACCCAAACAACTTTGTACTCTGTGATGTTGCCATTGGCTTCGTTCTTCTGCAGCGGTTTCCAAGCAATTGTGAAGGTTGTTTCGTTTTGTTTTAAAACTCTTATGCCGTATGATGCTACGTCAGGCACTAACTAAGATGATAATAAAATGCCATTCATGATAAGTTGTTACAACCATCCTTCAGTTCACATGGTTGTAGAATGCATATGCAATCTTAAGAAAACCTATGCCATTGCCACACTGTAAGTGTGAAGACAAACAAAGGCTAAACAACAGCTAACAATCACTGACTTTCAAAATTGAGACAGAAAAATAGCTATTCATAGCATTGATAATATCATGTTCATTAATATTAACATCGTCGTTATTCTACGAAAACAAATTAGTCAAGGACCAAATACATGCAAGCACTATATATGGAGAGATCCATTGACTCATGGCAATGACAGATTTCTATTTGTGCATGCTTGCGCCAACTTTCATGAGCTATATTTGTGAGCTGGTCAAAACTAGTTGAGTTGAGCACCTCCGCTTCGTGTTGATTGGCCGTTTCTTTCTCGTGGAAGAAGCAAATTTACGCTTGATCTTCTGACGATTTGTCACTATAGTGTTAGGAACCGTGGATTCAATATAACTTCTGTGTTCTTGGGTGCTTTTTATTGTGATCTCAATTCTAACTTCTTCTAACTTCTTTCACAAATCTGTTCGGCTTATATGTGCTACAATCAGACARTGTTTGGGTTTTACCTGGGGTATTAAAATTTACCCCACACCAATTTGCAGCCAATCCTTTCCTTTTCCTGGGATTAGAACTTTCTGGGAATGGTTGGTTTTGTCTGGTTTTGTGGCATCCCGTGAGGGGTGTGCCCCTGGCTGATGGTACCACATATAGCTCTCCAATATAAATTATATCTACAAATACTTTCTTAAAGCATCTACTTTACCATTATTCGTGATTTATACTACTTGCCAGGCTGGGCATGGTTGGGCGCGTGAACTACGGCGACTCCCGATCCTGGCCGATCTTCGTTCCAAGCGCGACCACCCATACCTAGCCTTGGCCTTCCCTAATCCACTTGTAACGTTTAAAGTTAAGCTAAATATTAAATTTCCTATATTTTAAATGTCATCTTAAATTTCAGCATAGCGCCTCGTAACAATAGGCTTTGGAAAAGTAGAGAACATGGAACGTTTAACGAGTCAGATAATTACTGCATTACTTTAGACCAGTTCAATAAAAAATTTACTACAAAACATACCATCTCGTCATGTCGCTCTTGCTTTTGTCTTGCTTGGCTTAATGTCTTTGACAGTAAACAACATTTTACCTTTTCCCAACAATTCATGGATTGAGGTAGAATATATGATTTGCAACATTAAGGAAAACCTTTCAAACAAGATTTTGTGATGTCCAAAATAGATTTTGAGAAACTGTGCACTCGGAAAACTCGATGACTAAAATATACTTATGACATTGTTATAGGTGATAAGTCAACGTCTCAAGGAAATTTCCCGTAAACATACCATCTTGTAATGTCGTTCTTGTTCTTGCATTACTTGGTTCGCTGTCTTTGACAGTATATGCAACAACCTTGAACATGTACGTTGTATACTTTTGAAGATTTGTGATGTCCTTCCCCTTGAAGAAAAGACCAGCCTTGGCCGTTTGCCAATTACGGTCACCAGGCCTCTCGTATAAGACTTTGTACCCTCTCAGAATTCCATTCCTGCAACTGGTGTTTGGTGGTGGGTCCCATGTCACACGGATACTTGTGGAAGACACGGCCTCGACTGATTTCAATTTTGGAGGACAATCGGGAGCTAGAAGTAGAAAACATTACATACATTAAGGAGATTTTGTTTTGAAATTTTGTTGTAAGCTGTAAAATTCTTACATAAGTTTGTATAAAAAAAATCCAACCTACCATCTTGTGATGTCTTTCTTGTTATTGTTTTGCTTGGTTCGCTGTCTTTGACAGTATATGCAACAACCTTGAACATGTACGTTGTATACTTCTGAAGACTTTTGACGTCCTTCCGTTTGACGGCAGTACCAACATTGGACATTTTCCAATAACGGTCACCAGGCCTCCTATAAAAGACTTTGTAGCCTCTCAGAATTCCATTCCTGCAATTGGTATTTGGAAGTGGGTCCCATGCCACACGGATAATTGTGGAAGACACGGCCTCGACTGATTTCAGCTTTGGAGGACAATCGGGAGCTACAAATAAAAAATACAGTTATAAACAGAAACTGTTCTTTGTAAGATTTGAGTATATGTAATATCTGACACTGCATTTTTAAACGAAAAAAATGGTCAAGAGAATTGGACCTAATCAAGACAATTTCCTAGAAACATACCATCTTGTAATGTCGTTTTTGTTGTTGGCCTACTAGGATTACTGTTTTTGACAGTATATGCAACTACGGAGAATTCGTATGTAGTATACTTCTGAAGATTTGCTATGTCCCTCCGTTGGACGGCAGGGCCAACATTGGACACTTGCCAATTACGGTCACCAGGCCTCCGATATAAGACTTAGTAGCCTCTCAGAATTCCATTCCTGCAATTGGTATTTGGCAGTGGGTCCCATGTCACACGAATAATTGTGGAAGACACGGCCTTGACTGATTTCAGCTTTGGAGGACAATCGGGAGCTACAAATAAAAAATACAGTTATAAACAGAAACTGTTCTTTGTAAGATTTGAGTATATGTAATATCTGACACTGCATTTTTAAACGAAAAAAATGGTCAAGAGAATTGGACCTAATCAAGACAATTTCCTAGAAACATACCATCTTG